AAAGAAAGAAAAATTACGTCAACTTACACAAAAGAAGTTGAAGAAAGCACGATGGTTGGAGAACAAACTTTAATGACTTAGGGGGGATCATGAAAATAAAAAATGTAGCATACAGAATGGTCTCTTGTGTTGGGTTTAACGTATCAAAAACATTCACGGTTAAAGTAGCGCGGACTAGCGGTCAGGAATGAAATAAGAACTTGACAGCAGCGTCACGAATTGTTGAAAGAAAGTCTTTATGAGTCGCCGTCTGTCTGTCAGTTGTTTGTTGTTGCCATCCAATGAGATTCCGATAAAAACTCTATTGTAAAAGCGGCCAATAAGCGAACAGTCATGGTTAATTTTATTGCTGGGTGGATAGTCTGTAACTAGGTTAAGTCCCCCAGAAGCTTATTGTGTTGCTTCGTATGCTGTAATGGAGGGTCGCTGTTAGTTTAAAAATTTTTTAGTCGTTTTAAGAATGATATTTCTTGAAAATAATATTATTATAATGCTGTAACTACCCTTTCAGTAAATGTCCAGTAATTTTAAATTCAGTCGTATATCATGGTAATTCTGTAATAGATATTCTCATTTATAAAACCATTTGTTAATGAAATTTCCAAGTAAAACTGATTAATGGAGTAATCATTTATATTGATGGTAATGAGAGGAGAAGAATCGATTAATAAAAATCTCGATTGAGACAGATTCTGTGCGTCTTAATTGCTATTAACCAAATAATGTTTTACTAAAATCTTTTAATAATTTCTTCCATTTGTTTTTGAGTTTTTTCTAAAAATGTGCTTGTATAACTTCTGATAGTGTTTTTATCATTAATAAGGTCGTAGGACTACATTCAATGTGCATGAGACGATTAACAAATCTTGTAGCGAATATTTCTGAAATTCAATTCAATATCCTTTTACCAATGTCTAATAGAAATCAGACAATCCAGCATTGTGCGTCGGGACAAATGAACCGACTGCTGTTTCTAAACATAGATGAAAATTTTGTAAGAAATTAGGATTTTGCGTAAGCACAACCTTTCACCTTCAGGTCACAATCACTGATGCCATAAGAAAGGTATAAAATTTTCTTGTACAAGAATTCGTGAACAGACCTCCATTTTACCATCATATTTTAACAAGAAAGAACGCTTTTGAAAGCTAACAAAGTTCGTTTATTATTGTAACTTTTAAAAATTGAACGTGATTTACTGTAAGCAATTATTAATCTGAGTTCATTTGAATCATTATTACCATAGCTTATGATTGGGTATAAACCTGATTGGGATCTGTCTTTACAGACTTCATAACTAACATGAATATCCATCTCAGTAATTCCAATCGATTATTCGATATGGAACACAGAATGATAATTTAATTATTTTAATTATCTTATTTTAAATACATTGTGATTTGACGGAATAACCAAATAATTTAATTTTAATTTAATAATTCACAATATGACGCAACTACACTATCTTATATCTGAAGAGGATAATGTACCAAATTTCTATATGCAGAAAATTTGCGGTGTGACGCCAGTTGTTGAATTGAATTATAAATTACTGTACGCAGTAGGAATAAAACAGATGAAAGCACAAAGTCAATGGCCAAATTTGGTGATAAGAACTTAGATGGTCTGATTTATATTTTAGATTTCACGGCCACGGGTGTGTGAGACTGCGTTCTGGGATGTAACACCGTTTAATGTGGTGGAA